CGTCATAAGAATTCAAATCACATTTCAAGTGACGAATACAGACGCTGCACTACTCACAACGGGCACGTTGGCAACAACAGGGGTGGAGTAGTTGCGGAGTGACTTGGCCATGACGGTAGTAGCGGATGGTACGGGGGTGACTGGTTTGACTGCTGGTGGAGTAGCAGAAGAAGAAGCGGTACGAGACCTATTCTTCCTTAGTAGTGCCTCTGGATTATCGGTGTAGTTGTTCGGCAGATCAAAACCACTCATACACTATCCTGTTTTGATCCACAATAGGAAGTAAACAAGCATAATTAGCTTGCATAAACTATGGCTACCATTACATGCATGTGCTCATGATCATGTCCTACTAGATTCTTTAAACCTATGCCCTCTCCCTGGCAACGGCGCTAGAAATGCTTGTTGGTATTTCTTAGTGCAATCACCAAGTGAGGAGGTTTTAAGTCCATCCATGGCAACGGCGCTAGAAATGCTTGTTGGCATTTCTTAGCGCAATCACCAAGTGAGGAGGTTTTAAGTCCATCACCGGCAACGGCGCGAGAAATGCATGTTGGTATTTCTTAACACCATTACTAAGATTGAGTTAATCTTAGCAACGCCGCCAAGAAACACCAACTACGATAGTTCTTAACGATTACAGAAATCATCCGCAAGGCGCATGGATCTATCGTTGTAGCATTTCACCCGGAAGTATTCAGAGTATCGTTATTTATATTTTCCCAAAGGAGGGCAAGGTATGAAGAGTCTAGCATGACAATAAACATGGTTACATACTTGCATAGTAGACCATAGTGCATGACAGGATAAAAATGGTACTTCATGGATAGTGGACACACATCTAGGCCAACCTCAAGGATAAAAGAAAAACAAAGAGTAAAAAAATGTTCCTACATGGAGCCGGCATGTTATAATATAGCCATGCAAAGAACAGTTAATGATCATACAAGTTACATGACTAGAGTTAGAACTAAGTGTGAGATGGACGGGGAGATCTCCGAGCACTGGCTCTGCTAGCAAGCGTGAGACTTTAAAACTCCTACACAATACCGGACGTAGGGGATTACAAGGGACGGACAGGGCTGTCACCACCTGCCACCTACCCCTCAACCGTGGGATATCGTCATATCTGAAGGTTCCCATGTACCGAGCACCACGCCTGTGTACAAGGAAACTACCCATATCCCTCGGGACTCGACCCTACGGATTGACAAGCAAGAATATGGGCAAACCCGAAGGAACGACGAACCATCACCCCAACCCTAGCTCTACTTCTACTCATACAAATCATATGAATGATTAAGCAAGAAGTTGAACATGTTAAGATCATGACACACAAACTATATGCTAGTTCATATATCACGATTATAACAAGACACCTATACTCTAGTTCTATAGCACAATTAAATAAATGATATGAGAGCATGACTATGGAAGAAATCCTCTTTGTATTCATACCAAGTGTTGCTTTTCTTCCAAGGAGACAAGCTCTCCAAGTAGCTTTTGCCTTGCTCCAAATACTACTACTAAAGCTAAGAGAGTACAAGTAGAGAGGTGAGGTGTGTAGCTCCAAATGTTGGTGTGTCTTGAAGGAGAGCTCCACCCATGCTTATATAGTGACAACATGGTCGGTTTGGCATAGATAAATTAGGAAACCAGCCAAAACCACCATTGCATGCCGCCATGCATCAGTCGATGGAAGCCGGGCCTAGATGGCAGCACTACACCTAGGTGGGGTCGGCTCGTGACCGCCTTCGCGTGGTCGGTTTTTGGGTGGGCCTGGGCCCCTCCCATGTTGGTGGTCGGGCCAGATTTGATGTGAAGGTGGGCTTCTCTACGTATTTCCTTTGCGCACTTCTGCATTACGCTTTCTGCTTTGCGCCTTTTGCTTGGTTTTGTTTATTTTCCACTTGTATTCGAATATTTGTCCTGCAAAACATGTTTTCTCCGATACAAGTGGAACTAGGTCAATAGTACATGCATATGTGTCAAAAGTATGTTTATTTCTCTTATTTTGGACTATAATTGGCATGTCGGATTTGGTCGTTAGTGACCACCAACACTATTCACAACCCAAAATAAAAAATTTGGGGTGTGATAAATCTACCCCACTTAACATGAATCTCGTCCCAAGATTCAGAGAGACTACGAAGAGAAAGATGACACCGATCTTCAAGTTTGTTTCAAGATTTATGAGGTATGATGAAAGAGTTGAAGATTGGCATAGGTTGAAAAGAAACATAAAGGTTAATCTTTAGGTTTTCACGTTATGAGGTGTAAGGAAAAAGGAGCAAAAGAAGATAAAGATTGATCTTCACGTCTTCTTGTCTTGTGACTCGAGATACTTGAGATTGATGAAGTTATAGCGGACGCTACCCCACTTAACAAGAGTTTTACTTATCTTCGAAACGTTATCTTCATGGCCTCCATTGGAGCACAAGGATGGAGACGGCACACAAACAACACACCAAACAAGACAAGCAAGCAACACAACATCGACGTTACATGTGCTTCTATTCAAATGGTGGGCATCCTAAAGAGTGGATTATAGATGATGAAGGCCATCGAGATTTTGAACAAGCTAAGATCAGAAAATTTAATAAAGCAAAAAAAAAAATCAAGGTGATAAGAAAAAATGGCTCAAAGGAAGCTATAAGGAGAAGAAAGTAAGATAAGGATGAGAAATAGTCAAATCAATTGGTCAAGGTGGTGAAAAATAATTTTATAGTAAAAATAAGTTTTTGAAGACGACCAGTGGTATCTAGACATACGTCCTACAGTCAATTTGGCTTTGATATCAATTTGTCACACCCGATTTTAAGGATAAAATCGGATGTAGAATCCTATGTGTGCCCAGGAATCAGTCACACACATAAGATGACAAATTACAATAGTATCAAGAGACAAAGCTTTACTATTTAACAAACAACTACATAGGGACAAATATTTATCAGAGTAGTAGCGGAAATACACATTCTAATCTTCAGGTGAAGCCTCCAAACACCACAAGGACGGTTGAAGGGTGTTCATACGCCTAGCACTCCTAAAAAACTTAACCAAGCTCTATCTTCTGTTACCCATCCGGGATTTTTGTCCAAGAAGTGAAAAGTAAAGCAAGCATAAGTACATGTTGCACTCAATAAATATAACATGGGGTTCATGAGGCTCAAAAGGCTGACACTGGTTTATTACGATTAGCTTTTAGTGAGTCATAATTGTAGCAATTGAGTAGCAATAAGTTTAGCATAAGCCCATATGAACGCATGATCATGTAAACAATAATAATGTATAGCAATAACAATAATCATTAGTGTTCATCTATTCCATAAGGGTCCAAGGCCACTCGTGTCCATGAGCACGTCTGATATACCTGTTTTACACTCTGCAGAGGTTGTACACTTTCACCATGAGCCATGATTTACCTTTTTGCCCAAGGCGGTCAACCTCTTGACCCGCTACCAAGGAAGGTTGGCAGGGTTCACTATGAAGTCTTTCAAAGGTTCGTCTAACAAGTTAGTAGCCGCTAGGTTTTCGTGGCAAGTAGATGTAGGGCCCCCTTTCAAATGGCACACTCACGCAGAAGTACTCATTGGAACAGAGGTCGTACTATCCCATCGTGTCACGCCCTTTTGCACCTTTCGATAACCACTAACAAGCTAGAAAAGGTCCTCATACTTGACTAAAGCTAGAGCCATATAGCACTCACGGTTGTACTGTAAGTCCCGGGTTATTACTTATAGATAAGTCCTTAGGGAGATAAATTAAAGCATTTGGAAAGTAGCCAAATACTCCAGCACCCTTATATCCATGTTGCTAAAAAGCATATTTTAATGTTTATTGCATATATCATTAGTCAAGTTACGGATCATGATCATTTAATTGAGCACTAGTAGAAATACTACCCAATGCATGATCCCATGGCTGACAAGGCACAAGTACAAAGCTAGGAAATTCTTATTGGTAATCAAGGTAGACATATGCAATATGAATTAAGTGATTAAAGGTGAATAGGTAACAAGGATGATCCTATGCTATACTTGTCTTTACACTTGCTTTCCACTCAAGACAACTGCTCATAGAAATTCTTCAATCTTCTCTTCTACAGCTTCTGGCCTCTAGCGCTTACATACGTCTCTCTTCTACTCGTAGCAAACACCAAGCATAGAGAAACATACAAACAAGAAAAAAAGCAACTAACAACAGTACATCAATCATAGCAAAAGCTTTAAAAACAACATTCTAAAAGAGGGCTCGTTGCTACGATCGCATGAGCACAAGAACCACTAAAGACGGAAATACGATTTAAAAGAAACGACTATTGAGACTTATATATTATATAAAAGAAAAAGTCTATATGCTTGATTTATTTTAATTGAGCCAAACCATGTGAAAAGTTATTAAGACCATATTAGTCAAAACATAATTTAATACAAAAGCCGGGTTAGAACTACTCATATTTTATTTCCAAATGATCATATATCATTTAAGCCATTTAAACATCTAGTTTAGAAAACATAAAACTTGTGAGAGCTACTAACCAAATCATTATATTTCGTATTTGAACTAAACAAAATATAATTAAAGATACATTATAGTTGGTGTTAATCAAGTTAACATTAATTTATAAAAGCCATAGTTAAAACCCGAAGTTCTTTTTAATTTGGAAAGTGGTGTGAGTAATAGTTAACCAAATTAATATTTATGTTGAAATTCATAAACATGAGACATGCTAAACTTAGTTGTTAACACATAGATTACCTTGCTACGAACCTAACACAACTTGAATGGGTTCAAAACGGATCTAAAACACAAAAGATATGAACTTCTGAATTTGGATGGTATTTCTGAAAATAAAAAGAACTGATTTTTTTATTTAAAATAAATAAAAACAGGTTTTTAAAAAGGGTTTTGACGGTGGCCACTATTATTGAGAACTGCAGGGGCTAGATCGAAACATGCTAAGGCACAGATGACAGTGGAATAATTTCATTGAAATGTAGGGCCTTTACCCGCTGAGGTGGAACCTTGACCGTGATGTGGTGTGCGCGGATTGGCTGGAGGGCGATGATGTGGCGTGTGCCGTGCTGACTGGGATGGAGTTGGTTGACCAACAGTCAACAGAGGATCCTGGCCACCGATCTGATGATGGACGGTGCAGGGGTGTCTCCTTCCTCTGTTCTGTTGCTACGCAAAGAAAGGGCACTGCACGGCGGGAGCTCGCCGGCGTCGGCCGGGACGACGTCTCCGGCCATCATGGAGCACCGGCATGTGGCGGCGGAGGGAGAGAGGCCCACGACGAACTCATTAGTGGGGTTCATGGCGCCGGGAAGGGGCTGGATGCAGCTGCTGCTGCGAGGAGCAGAGCACGGTGGTGGTAGAGGCTCGGCAAGGTGGAAGGCGGGGTTGTGTCCACGGATCGACTAGGAGAAGTTGAGCGGCGGTTCCGCTGTGTTCTTGCGATCCCGTAGGACTTAACGGAGGCGGCGGAGATGCTCGGATGAGCGAGATCGAGGCGGCAGGGTGGAGTTCGGCAAATGCGGCGGGGGTGGCCATTGGAGGCGCTAGAGAGGGAGAAGGAGCACCGGAAGGGGCCGAGCGGCTGCGTCGAGGTGAGAGGAGTCCACGGGCAGCTTTTATAGGGGCGAGGGGCCACGGGGTTGGCTCGGTCGCGGAGCTCGGGCTCACGCCGTCAATGGCGGCCGCGATCTTGACGGGGCGCGCTGAAGAGCGGGTCGCGGCGGCTACGGCTAGCGGGTAGTGAGGCAGCAGGGAGCTCGGTCTGTGTGGGTGCGAAGGACGCGGGCGCAGAGGTCTCGGTCGCGCGGAGCCTCGACCCGGTCATGGCGGAGAGGAGACCGTGGACGGGCGGGGGGTAGGGGGAAGGGCCTGACATGTGGGCCCTCCCTGGCAGTGAATGTGAGGGAGAAGGGGCGCGGGACCCGGCTGTCGGTGGGACAGAGAGGTGAGGCGCGAGTGTGGGCAGGGAGGATGGGTTGCTCGGCCTAGGAAAAGAGAGATGGAGCAGGAGGGAGAGGTGGGCCGGCCTGATGTGGCCCAAGAGGGAGAGGGAGAAGGATTAAATTCAAGCGGCATGAATGCAACGAAAAAATCAAATTAATTGTAAAAGTTTTTAGAAAAACACATTTTGCACAGTTTAAATTGCTAAAACCCTAATTAAATTTTGAAAATTTTAGAAAAATGACAAAGGCATTAATTTTATTTAGTGAAAACTATTCACAACCAAAATACAAATTTTGGGGTGTGACAACCATGCGTTGAGCTACGAGAGGATCCGAATGACGATACTGAACAACACTGGCTCGAAGTACAATAGTGCACGTTAATTAAGACAACATTCGAGGACATCCTGCTAGTATATAATGCGAGTTCTTGTCCTCGATAGGTGGTGGTGCCACTTCTTTTGGAGTTCCACGAGGACGAAACAAGGGAAGAACAACCCGCTGCCTCCACGTAACTTCTTTGACCACAAGGACATCTGATCGAGAGAAAAAGGACGAGGCCAGCACAGCAAGCACGTGTTGTGCAAAAAGAGGTGGATGCGATACACCAGGTGGGGAGGAAGGGAGAGCCCTTGGAGCCAACTAGCGTCCTCGACACATTCAGCAACACATGTGAGGTGGATATCACATACAACCATTGGAAGTAAGTCCTAGAGCACCTCAAGGACTATGTGTGGCAAGAGGTCAATTCTAGGTTCATGTACCAGGGGTCGCTAATGAAGACCTGTGCAAGAAGTACGTGTTGTTTGTCTGTGCCAGATGGATGCTCAATGACAGCTACTTGAAGTAAGCAACCCTTCAGTGAATACAAGTTCATCACACCTCCGATGTGGGAAGCATTCGTCCGAGAAAAAACAAGCAAAGAAGCAAAACCAAGAGCGAGAGGTTCTCCAAGCTCGCGAAGAAGAACGTGTACCATCACCACCACCTGGGCACTACAGGGTATGCCTAAGAAGAAGATCTGGGAGGAGGAAGAAAGGGCGGCAGCTGAGGCTGGACAGACGATGGAGTACGGGGGCTTCCATGAGAGGAAAAGGGACTACAGGAAGGAAAGACCAAATTCAATGAGCCACAGACCGAGGAGGCGGAGGCGAGGATACTAGCGGTTGCTGCGGCCGAGCAGAGCGGGTCGTTCAACCCTGGCAAAGAGAGGGACCAGCGGTTAGAGGCGCTCGGAACACCAAGCACCATGACAGCGTCCGAGGCATGTCCTCAAGAATGAGCTAGAAGGACGTGGAGTCGTGGTCATTTGACGCCTAGTAGAAAAACCATGTTTAGACTTCGTTTACCTACCCTTTGCATATGTCAAAACCTAATAACACGTGTACCTACCCGGTAGCTGTACAACAAGATACCGTATCGATATTTTCAACAGAAAGATAAGATTCCATATTGGCTCGTAGGTATTATCAGAGAACGTATATGATTTTAGTTTGATTTTTGTTGCTGCCATATAGTATATGCCAGTCAACGTGATAGTCACTAGATGTATACTTGCGTCGAATCATATGCTCTAGCTACCATTTGCCCCCACTTTTCCCCACGCGTCTCCTACACTTCAATTTATAATTGTGTTTTCTTAATAGATCTTTTTATCATAACCTGACCGTAGCTTAGCTGGTTGTTCTTTTTTACTATGATGGAATCTGCCTATTTAATTTAAGTTTAAATAAACTGTCGACTTAATGTGATTGGTCATATTTTTCTAAATTTATTAGTCGGCTGCTATTGCAGCCTCCCCTGTTGGTGACTTCGCCAATTGCAAGATGTAACTTCGCCAATTGCAAGATGTAACTAAGCGCCTTTTTTTTGCATCTAGTGGTTTTTTTTCCAATAAAATATCTCATCTCAGTTTAGGGATAGTGTGTCGGTAACCTTCCAGCATCCATCCAGCTTATAGTGAGGATTTTTACACTTTGGTTCGATTGAGCCCAGTAACAATTGCAATTGCCACCAATATCGTTGGCCCTAAAAAACAGAGGTTTGTTGGAATCCTCCTTGCAAAAGGGCGGAAGTTCTCTCAGTGGGAGGTTGCCCAAGTGCTGTTTAAAAAGTATAATTTGTAATTCAAGATTGAAATGGTTGACTTCACAAACAATGAGAAATAACATTTATTCCCGGTGCATAGTTTCATGTGACCCCAAGCCACATGCGCGTGACTCAGACACACGTCGCTGCCCCTGCCCCGCCGCAACTCAGACACTTTCCAGACTCGCTTCTGACACGCTGACGTCAGTCTGATGCAAAACCAAAAAGCAAAACATTTTCTTTCGAATGCTATAACTTTTGAATGTTGCGTTCGATTTCAATTCTGTCTACCCCGCTTACATATGTTTCAAAGAATTTTATTTTAATAGTAATTTTGTGTAATTAGTGCTAGAAGATTTATCAAAGAAGTTACTACCTTGTAATACTAAAGTTGCTACTCCAAAAATATATTAAAGTTATTACATAGTATATACAAGCTTGGGGCAAATATATTAAAATGAGTTACTACCATGTAATATTAAAGTTGCTACTCCAAAAATATACTAAAGTTGTTACATAGTATGCACATTCATTATAATAATAAAACTAGACCTCACTTGACTATGTTTCAAAGAAATTTTAATTTAGTAGCAATATATGTGTAAAAATATATTAGGTGGTTTATGAAATAAGTTGCTACCATGTAATACTAAACTTGCTACTCCAAAAATAAACTAAGTTTACATATGGTATGCACATCGATTGTTATCATGGGAATATGATAAATTTGTTATATAGTATTTACATAAAGGTACTAACCCCTAAAGAGAGTAACGGACCAAAACAAGACAAGCAGTAACTTAAAGGGGCAAATTATTAAAATAAACATTGCATAAGCTACCAATTAGGGAGACAAGTTATTATAAAACATATTAAAAAGCCAGCAACATATGACTTGCTGCCAACTAAGGACATTTATTAAAAAAATGAGGGTAGCAATATTAAACACTTACTGCCAACTGGGGTCATTTATTATAAAATGTGGGTAGCATTATAAAACAAGACATGCTGTAATATGGGGGCAAATTATTAAAACAAGCATCGCATAAGCTGCCAACTAGAGGGACAAGTTATTATAAAACCCACTATATAAGCCGAGAAACATGACAAGCTAAAAATTAGAGGGTCATTTATTAAAAAGACGAGTAGTAACCCAAAAATAAGATAAGCGGTACCCTGAGGGCAAATTATTAGATAAGGTGCTAACTTAGAGGGTAAGTTATTATACAACTAATATGTAAGATTTAGGAATGCATTCAAACCTAAAAGGAGACTGAAAACTGAAACTAGAAAACATTAAAAAAACAAGACTGAAAACTAAAACTGGGGGATGAATTCTTTTGTGGCAACTTATGTGTGCAAGGGCTACCATTTTGTAACAACTTATACATTGTAGGTGAGACAACTAATATGCAGGATTTATCTAGATATTCGAACATAAAAGGGAGATTGAAATCTCAAATAAAAAAAAACATGACTCAAAAATAAAACTTAAAAACTAAGAAAAAAACTTGACTGAAAACTAAAACTAAAAAACATGACTGAAAACTAAAACTAAAAAAAGGAAAAAAGAAAACAAGACTGAAAACTAAAACTGGAGGGCGAATACTTTTGTGTCAACTCATGTGTGCAATGGATACCCTTTTATAACAACTTATACACAACTGTCAACTAAAGATACTCGGCAGTCCACCGAGGGGTATGCTCACGATGGTAGATTGATTGGTAGAGGTGCACGTGATCATAAATTAGATGGTAACAAAGACACAAGACACAAGATTTATACAGGTTCAGACCATCAATGTGACGTAAAACCCTACGTCTTATGCTCTGTTGGTTTGTATTGTTGGAATACGAGACGTGGGATGGGAAGATGCCGACTAGGAGACCCCTGCCCCTCCTTATATACTCTGGAGGGGTATGGTTACAAGGAATGTATCCTAGTCGGTTATATGGTAATATTACAATATCTATAAGAGTCCTAATAAATCATATCTTCTAGATGCATTGCGGTGTATATCGACTAGTGCCGTGCACCGCAAGTCTTGATCTTGTAGACTGAACCGCCCTTGACTGTGCGGCCCATGTCCCTTCTCGTGGGTACCTAGTGTCAGACCCCCCCACAGCTAGTCCCCGAGCGCCTTGTATTCGCTTGGTGGCGCCGTCTTGATCAAGTCCGAGCAGTTTGGCATGAAACTGATCAGGTTAACTCGTGATCCAAGCGGTGAAAGTTATGGCCGACCAGTTAATCTGATGGCCAGGGTGGTGAAAGTGATGGCCGATCAGTTTAACTAGCCTGCCAACCTGTGAGGACAATTGCCGACCAGTCC